GTACTTGAAATTGGAGAAGACTGTTCTCGCGATCCCATCCAGCGAAATGGTTTCAGGACTGGAGAGACCGCCGAAATTGCAGAACATGTACTCAGTTTTGGTTCTGCTGATTTTCAAGCCAACATTCTCCAGCCATTTTTCCAGTCTGCTCTGGACCTCAACCCCATCTTCACCGACCAACATCAATGTCATTTGCAAATAGCATGCACCAAGGTGCCTCCTCCTGTATGTCCGATGTCAGAGCATCCATTATCAACAGGAAGAGGTATGGGCTCAAAGCTGATCCCTGGTGCAAGCCTACAGAGACACTGAATTGATCAGTGTTTCCCGTGACCGACCTTACATGAGTGCTAGACTCTCTGTACATAGCATACTTAACAGGCACTCTTTCTTATTTCAAAGCCCACCACAAAACTTCTCGGGGTACCCTATCATATGCCTTTTCGAGATCCACAAACACTATATGCAAGTTTTTGTGCGCACTCCTGTATTTCTCACATAGTTGGCGCATTGCAAATATAGCATCTGTTGTCCCGCGTCCTGGCATAAACCCAAATTGACTTTGGGTTATCTGACTCTCATCTCTTATTCTTCTCTCAATCACTTTCTCCCAGACTTTCATAGTATGTGTCATGAGCTTTATTCCTCGATAGTTGTTGCATTCCTGAACATCTCCTTTATTTTTGAAAATGGGTACGAGTTGGGTTTGACACCATTCCTTTGGGATTACCTCTTCAAGCAACAACATATTGAAGAATAGAGTTAGCCACTCATATCCGTCTTCTTTCAGTAGCTTCCAAATTTCCACTGGTATACCGTCGGGGCCAACTGCTTTTCCATTTTTCATACTTCGTACTGTGAATCTAACTTCATCTATACTAATCACGTTCACCAGTCCGACATTCACATCCACATGCTTTAGCACTCCGCTCCATTTATTCTCTTCATTCATAAATTTTTCAAAGTAAGTTTTCCATCGCTTTTTTATATCTTCATCTTTAACCAATACTCTCCCTTCTTTATCTTTCATACATCTCACATGCTTCAGGTCTTTTGCTCTTTCTTCCCTGTTCTTTGTAATGCGGTAGAGTTCTTTTTGACCTCTAGGTTCATGTAGGTGTTTAAATATGTTGCTGCTGGACGAGGCGGGCAAACTTTTTGAGAGGGTGCTCTCTGCCCGCATCGTCCGGCACCTTTGCGAGGTTGGCCCCGATCTGTCGGACGCCCAATTCGGTTTCCGAGAGGGGCGTTCGACGATCGATGCCGTGATGCGCCTTAGGGCCGTGACCGAGGAGGCCGTGAGCTGCGGCGGAGTGGTGTTGGCGGTGTCCTTGGACATCGCCAACGCCTTCAATAGTCCTGCCATTCAGCTGCATCAGGGAAGCGCTCCGCTACCACGGAGTGCCGGAGTACCTGAGGCGGCTGGTGGCAGACTATCTTGAGGAGCGAACCGTCATGTATGAGGACCGAGATGGCGTCTTGAGACGCAGGGCCATGTCGTGTGGTGTTCCGCAGGGGTCTGTCCTAGGACCTCTCCTGTGGAACATCGGGTACGACTGGGCCCTACGAGGGCGTCTCCCCCCCGGGCTGGGTGTAATCTGCTACGCGGACGACACCTTACTCACGGCCCGGGGGGCTAACTTCCAGGAGGCGGCGCGCCTGGCCGCCACGGGAGTTTCCCAGGTGGTCGGGCGCATTGAGGCGTTGGGTTTGCGGGTGGCCCTGGATAAGACGGAGGCCCTATTATTTCATGGGCCCCGTCGTGGTCCGCCCGCCGGCGCCTCAATCGAGGTCGGCTCGGTCCTCGTACCGGTCCGGGCCCAGATGAGGTACCTGGGTCTGGTCCTAGACGGTAGGTGGCTCTTCGACGAGCACTTCCGACAGCTTGGTCCGAAGCTGGTGGACACTGCCTCCGCCCTAGGGCGACTTCTGCCCAATTTGGGCGGGGCCAGTGTTCCCACGAGGCGGCTGTACGCGGGGGTTGTCCGGTCCATGGCGCTGTATGGTGCACCGGTGTGGGTGGCGGCTCTGACCGCCCCGAATAGGGCGCGCCTCTGGCGCCCCCAGAGGATATTGGCGGTCAGAGCCATACGCGGATACCGCACGGTGTCCACCGAGGCGGCTTGCGCCTTGGCCGGAACACCCCCGTGGGATTTGGAGGCGGAAGTGCTCGCCGAAGTTTATCGGCGAGTGGCTGACGTCCGGGCGGAGAGCGGATTTCGCCCTCCGCCCGAAGACGTGCGCGAGTGGCGCGAAGCCGCTCGCCGAGCCACTATGGTGAGATGGTCGTTCCGGCTGGAGACTCCACGCGCTGGCTTCGCCGCCGTGGAGGCTCTCCAGCCGGTCATCGCCGAGTGGGCAGGGCGGCAGCACGGGACCCTTTCCTTCCGGCTGACGCAGGTGCTTTCCGGGCACGGTTGCTTCGGAAAGTACCTGTTCTCGGTCGCTAGGAGGGAATCGAGTCCCGCCTGCCACCACTGCGACTGCGGTGAGGATTCGGCCCAGCACACGCTGGCGGTTTGCCCCGCATGGGCGACGCAGCGCCGGGCCCTCACTGCAGTCATCGGAGCAGATCTCTCGCTACCGGCCGTAATTCGCTCCATGGCCGGTAGCGACGGTTGTTTTACCGCGGTCGCAACCTTCTGCGAGGAGGTAATCTCGCAGAAGGAGGCGGCGGAGAAGGCCCGGGAGGACGACCTCCATTCGGACCTGATCCGCCGCCGGCGAACCGGGCGGCGGAGGCGCGCTCACCTGCGCCTCATGCCGCCCTGAGTGTGGCCGCGGGTGGACGGGATGGGTTCTCCCCTCCACCCGCATTAGTTGGCCAGCCGCGAGGGGGCGGCGTCCGCGTGTGCCGGACGCCGCCTAAAGAGAGGGTCCACTGAGACGGAGCCCGCGTCAGGAGCGGGCCGGCGCTGGGAGGGGTCCAGAAGGAGATAGCTACCTGGACCCCTCCTAAACTGGAAGCGCAAAGAGGGCACACCGTGTGGTTTTAGTCGGTTCGAGTCCGACACACCGCCCCGCCGAACGAGAGCCCCGGCGGGGTGACGGTCCGAGGGGATTTCCACACGTAAAAAAAAAAAAAAAAAAAAAAAAGGTGTTTAAATATGTTATTATATTGAGCTTGAGCTCTGGCTACCGCTACCGCTTTTTTTGCTTTTTTCTTCCACTCTTTATATTCATTCATTTTGACTTCCTTCATTCTCTCACAGACCTTTTCATTTTTCCACGCTTTAAAGGCATTCTTCTTTTTTTTAGAGCTTTCTGTACCTCATCACTCCACCACCATGTATCTCTTTCAATAATGCCTTTTCCTTTTGTTTCCCCAAGTACTTCTCTCGCTTTCTTTCGTATATAATTTGCCATTTTACTCCACCATCCATCCACAGACTAATTTAGCCTTGCATTCATTTCCATAATTTTTAACACCTTTACCTTAAAGTTACTTGCATACTCTTCTTTCTCTAACATTCGCCACCTGATTTTTGGAGAAGGTCGGTGCCTACTCTTACTCAAAATCATCCATTTGACCTCCATTACCAGCAATCTATGTTGCGATACTACGGGTTCCCCGGGCACCACTTTGCAGTCTCGGACACAAACCAACTTGCTTCTTTTTATGAGAAAGTAGTCGATCTGTGTCGCGTCGCTACCACTTTTATATGTGATCAGATGTTCGTGACGTTTTTGGAACCATGTGTAACTATTGCCAGGTGAAACGAAGAGGAAAACTGGAGCAGAGACTCACCATCAATGTTTCTACTTCCGAACCCCCTTCCTCCATGTACTCTTTCATAATCCTCATTCGTTGTTCCCACATGACCATTAAAATCTCCACCTATCAAAAGTTCTTCACTTTCAGGGATACCTATCAAAACCATGTCAAAATCGGCCCAAAATTTTTCTTTCAATTCATCCTTGCATTCAGCTTGAGGTGCATACACGCTAACAATATTCATAATTACGCTCTCCCATACTAATTTTAGTACTATTATTCTATCGTTCACTCTCTTTACATCCGTCACACTCCAATCAGGGCACTATCCAATACTACACCCATTCCATTTCTCTTCCCATTACTTCCGCAGTAATAAAACTTGTACCCCTCTCCTATCTCTCTTGCTTTCGTACCCTTCCATTTTGTTTCTTGCAAGCATGCCACGTTTATTCTTCTTCTTTTCAACACATCTGCTAGCTCTCTCGCTCTTCCAGTCATAGTCCCTACATTCCAACTTGGCATACCTCAACCTTACCTCTCGGGCTTGCTTCTTACGTTACGCACCCGCCTCGGGTGGTGCAACAACCCTTGTCCACTTATTTGGGCGCGCGTCGCCTACGGGGTACGCCCTAGCACTGTCGACCTCAATTTGTATCATACTCATACTGCATTATAATGGTTTTGGCTAATTAATTTTATGGCCGGCCGCCTGCCTGTCGCCAACCCTCCTTGGGAATGTAGTCGTTTATACGATAGGGAAGGGAAAAAAGGAAACATCGGGGGTGAGAGGATTGGATGAGAGAGGAAAATTAGGGTGGGGGAATACCGCAGTACTAGGATAGGAGACAGGACTTAGACTGCGGTATGTACCAATATCCAGCGGTTGGAGAGGCCACCAGGACAAGTACCGCACGGACTGTATATATACTGTCTGATGATAAACAGTCCAAAGATTCCCTCAGTCGCCTTTTACGACACCCACGGGAAGAGATGGGTTGGCCTTATTCTAATCTTTAAATGTTCACTAATTCCACATCCTATTTAAAATATACTATTTTCTGACTTTGACAAAAAAAAAAACTGTAAAATATTCACGATTTAAACGTCATTACTATAAATAATATATTAAAATTTATTTTTTAAGTTGTTTTCGTGAATGGCAACATTTATAACGATTTTTTTAATTAGCCAAGAATTTCTGTAATTGTTATAAATAGTCCATAAAATCTCTAAATATTCTCAATCACTTATTCGTTAAATACCATATTCAAAATAAACTTACGCAGTCTTGTATCTTCATTGATCTCTCTTACAATTACAGGCACTGGTGGATACAAACGTAGACTCTCTCGGCACACAGCTTCTAAATATTTGAGACGTGGCAAGTCTTCGACGACTACTTGTCTCTCTGAATCCCCAAACACTTCTTGTAATCTTAAAAATAAAAATTTACCTTATCTTAAAATTAATTAAGTAGGTATAACGTTTTAGTTTAAGATTTTTTATCCCCAAAACCAAACAAATAGCGTGGTAACCTGTTTTAAATTCGGCAACATTTTAATAATAAAAACCGCCCGCGTAAATGTCGGTTATTGAGGTAAAATTAGCCTATTTCTTCCTGAAGAATCAAAGTATCTCCATACCAAATTTCATCTAAATCGATTTAGCGGTTTAAGCGTGAAGACGTAACAGACAGACAGACAAACACACTTTTGCATTTATAATATTAGAATGGATGTACCATGTTATAACGATATTAAAATGTAAAGTTGAAATGCATTTATTGTAACTTATTGATTAAATAAAATATAGTATATTTTCTTATTATTTACTTTGACTTTGGAATAAAAAAAAAATTGTAACCGACTTCAAAAAGAAGATTCAATTCAAATCTTTTTTTTATGTATGTTCACCGATTTGGGAAATTCTTTTTTGTTTCAAACGGTATGCATCCCAACTAGTCCCGTTTAAATTTTATTGGAATCGGTTTAGCGGTTTTTTGAAATATCATCAAAATCTAAAAAATTGGATATATCGATGATATTTTTGTTTACTTACTAAACCTTGCTGTCTCATTAGAGCAGTGCGTTTAGTTGGTACATCCATATGATATGAAAACAAAATACATGTACTTGCCACTAAAAATGTAAAAATAAAATTATTTTAGCGAAATGGCGAGGGCCCGTCTATGACCTCCATCTTATCCAGGGCCACCCGTAAGCCTAGTGAGGAGACTCCTCTGATGGCAAGGCGCGTCGCCTCTTCAAAGCTCACCCGTGACGTGACTGTGGCGAGGGTGTCATCAGCGAGATTACGCCAAGCAAAGCAACACAGCGTCGACCGTCGAACGGCCCGTTCGAAGACCGAATTGAGCGTCCGAAAGATTGGAGCCCACCTCGCAGAGTTGCCGGACGACGAGGGCTCTCGAGAACCCTCTCAAACAATTTACCCGCCTCGTCCAGCCACACGATGGACCTGTGGGCCGCGACCGAGTCCGCAGGCCGTCCCGGCTTCCTTAGCAGAACCAGCTTACCGCTCTTCCAGCACTCAGGAAACGTCCGGACACCAAACTAGCGTCGTACATCTCCCTAAGGCGGTCCGCCATGTAGTCGAGCGTTAGGGCCAGACGGGATACCGGTCTTCTTGGAACGGATCCGTATATCCCCCCCCCCCCCCCCCCATACCGCCGAATCCCAGACGGGCGAAACATGGTACCCGACGCAGGGAAGGAGAAGAAGAAAACACAAAGAAAATATTACACAAATATTAATAAAAAAGTAGCCGTGTTTAAGGTTACATTAAACGTTACTTATAGATTTTGATAATATATGCGTACCTGAATATTAATTCCACGCTCTGAGCGGATGGGAGCGAGACCGAAATATATGTACAAAGACTTTTTTCCGACACTTCTTGCTATACTTACAGCCGTGAGGGTAATAGAAAGTACCGGAACAGCTGAATAATTCGCTAGGGATGCATTTTTCGGAAATATGTGAAATACAAAAGTTACAGTAATTTTCCCTGGCTATCCGTTGGTTACCTTGAAATTAAACTTGATTACAACCTTGAAGGTTATCTCAAGGGTCAAGGGCATTTTTAAATGGGATTGCATATTTTGAGCCCGGAATTGAAAAAATAGGAAAAAAAAGCCGGTCAGGCACGAGTCGAAATCGTGCGCCGAGGGTTCCGTACCTACCCAGATTCTACGTAGATTTTCGCGAATATTTGTAAGTACCAAAATTTATCTTGATTTTCAACTTTTTTAATTTTTTGGAATTATTCCTTTATTTGTGCTGTAAGACGTTTCTTTTTTCTAAATTTGCTATATCTTTTTATCGTGTTGACTCAGGACCGATTTTTATATACCTAATAGGCACCATAGACCTCAGTATCTGGTATAAATTTCAACGTTCCTGAGAAAATCGATGGTGACACACGGACAGACGGACAACAAAGTGATCTTATAAGGGTTTTTTTTTACCTTTTGAGGTACGGAACCCTAATTACAATTAGATATGACCAAAAAGGTCAAAATTTTGGGGTTCTCTAAAGGTCACCAATCCAAGGTAAAACACACTTGGTTTTACGGTAACGTCTTATTGTGACTCTTTAATTGTTTAATCCGTGTGGTGACGGATTAAGAATACGGAATGTCACCACCCATATTCATCCCATGGGCGTCGTAAGAGCCGACTAAGGGAACAAACTACGCAGGACAACAGCACTGCAAATAGAAGGAAAACTTGAAACAAACCCTATAACAACCCAGCCTGCGTGGTATAGTAGGTCAAAACCTCCTTTCCAGGGAGAGGCCTATGTCCAGCAGTGGACTGTTATAGGCTGCTGATGATGAATTTTTTGTATGTTGTTACCCGCTGCTTTTTCAAAATTTGAATATTTTTACTTTGAGTAATTATTTAACGAGTGTTTAAATGGAATAATTCTTAGGGGTTGTTTTTAATACATGTTGTTTACATTCAGTAACAAATATTCACTTACAGACTGTATTTTATTCTATAAACTTTGAAAGTCTTTAAGTACAAAATTACAATGACTTTAAAGAGTACAAAACTCATTAACAATTTAACAGAAATGATACAACTTACTCGTGGAACACTTTTTCTTGCATATCAGGGTGATTAGCCAGCATACAAATAGTGAAACACATTCCGACAGCAGTAGTGTCTGTACCGGCTAACAACAAGCCGAGGCATTCTTCAAGTAACTCCTCGTCAGAATAGCCACGATCGCTGCCAGATGCTTCTATTTGAAGTTCCAGAAAGCTCTTTAAACTATTGGTGTCATCTGTTCGGACAATATAAATTAAGCATCTATGTTCTTTCTTTACACCGCAAGTAAAAATGTTAAATTTTATAAAAAAAATCTGAAGTATCCATTCGGATACCACACACTGGTGGTTAATGCTAGGCTCGAACCGACTAAAACCCGCACGCATTCTTACCCGGGAATCGGTGTAACCCTAGAAAGGTAATCCCTGGTACCCCGGTACCCAGGGCTATCTACGGCATGTAGATGACATCCTCTTGTGTATTCCTGTTCTACAACCATAAAGGCGCGCGCGCGACAGATTGCCTCACCTGTCATCCCTAGGCCTGCGCTTATAGAGGACGGAGGTAGTTTGGAACTGCTATCATTTTATGTGAAGATTTCAAAACCTGTTTATGTTTATGCATAGGTAACTCGCATACGAATGTTCAACAGAAGAGTCGCCAATATTCTAATACGTTAACTTAAACTGACGTGACATTCGACTGACAGTTTAGGACTATAGCAAAAGTGATTTAAATAAAATTAATTTTATCAGATTAGGTAGGTCATTTATATAAACGAGAAGCAAAAATGGGCCGAGAATTGAGCCCTGCGGAACCCTCATAATGACCACACACCTCCATGTCCATTAACTTCCACTCTCTGGATTCTATTACCTAAATAAGAGATAAGAAGATCCAAAGCAGTATTTCTTATTCCATAGTGATGCAATTCCTGATTAATGTTTCATGAAAAACGCAATAGAATGCCTTAGGCAAATCACAAACACCCAGCGCATTGCGCCCGGGGAGGACCCTGGCACCATACCAATGTCCAAAGTGATGACCAAGTCTTGGTTTAGTTGCACCTTGTGAAAAGTACGAAGAGATTAGGGGATAAATATTTTTTAAAGCAACTCCGTGATTTTAATTTCAACAACAGCATGGGCCACCATGCGCTGCCAAAGGCGCCAGATATATCTAAGAAAATGTTTGTTGGGAGACCTGCCGGATGCGGCGCCGAGGCATGGAGTGAATAATTATCACTTCCTTCTACGTTAGCTAAAAGAATTAAATATCCTATTGTTATTTTTGTATAACGTTTTATGAAATACCCCTTATAACATAGCTTGTCTATAGGAAATTACAATACATATTATACAAACTTAAACTAGATTACTTCTTTATATTAATGAAACAGAGTAACTTACCATTGTCGGTTTTTATATTTTCTTTAACTTTTTTGCGCTTTTCTTTTATTATCTGAAATAAAAATAGGACTAAACATTACCACATTAAAACTTAAGCAGCTAAAATACGGAAACCAAGTACAGCCGAAACAACGGCTTGAAGTACCACGTTGGATGCCAAACAATAAACTGTATCATTAAAATGAAAAAAAAAACGCAAATAATTAAGTTCACTCTTTCTATTTGTCTTTATTTCTTGCATCAATCTTAATGCTTGTTTTTAATCATGATAAATTAATAATTTACCTATCTCCTATTTATTTTAAACTTGTAAAACCGTTATTTTAAGTGCATGTGGTGTTAGCCTGTTGATTATTGCACTCACACATGTTTAGTCTTTAAGTAAATTCTGTAATGTTTAGTGTAATAATCGTTGGCTGACCAAATAAATAAATAAATAAACCCTATATTGTATTAAGATGATCTTATCTACAAAAGTAATAACGACGTTAAAATATAAATATTACATAACTAAATATGAATAATTGCAAAAATGTATTTTACGTGACGTGACGACTGAGCATAGTTGGGTTTAGTTCTAATTTGTTTATTTGACACTGATCAAGCCGTGAAAAATCTGATTGAAGCATCGGCACATCCTTTGCCAACGATACTACAGAATATATCTTCATATCATCAGCAAAGGAGAGCAGATTAGAACTTTGGAAGGAGGTTTCGATGTCATTCACTTAAATCGTAACAGCAATGGGAACCATTTAGGAACCCTGGGGTACACCGCTGGGGATAGAAACCCAGCTAACAATATATTGTTACTGATAACTACAGCCTGAGCCCAATTTTCAAGTTAAGAGGAAAACCACTGATATAGTCTCCCCCTATGCCACTGTTAAATAAATTTATTTTTAGCGTGTTGTGATCTATTTTATCAAACACTTTACTGTAGTCAGTATAAATAACATCGACCTGAGCACCATCATCCATACCATGCGTCACTTAATCATTCAATAATACTAAATTTGAAACCGCGAACGGCCCCTTAAAAACCCCTGTGGTGACGGATAGTTCGTGTAGTGACGGATTAAGAATACGGAGTGTCACCACCCCTATTCATCCCGTAGGTGTCGTAAGAGCCGACTAAGGGAGCAAACTACGCAGGACAACAGCACTGCAAAGAGAAGGCAAACTTGACACAAGCCCTGTATCAACCCGTCTGGCCAGCGTGGTATAGTAGGGTAAAACCTCCTTTCTAAGGTGAGGCCTATGTTCAGCAGTGGACTAGTAAAGGCTATTGATTATGATGATGACGATGATGATGATGGATTAAAAGCATTTTTGCACTTGCACTTGATCATAAATAATTTTTTCAAAGACTTTTGCCAGAACACATAATTTGGATATGGGTATATAATTAACAACATAATTAACACATGAAGAAATTACACTTACAGTTTATAATTTCAGTCTTTGGCCGTTCCTTGTGCACGGGAGTAACATTCGCGGACTTTTAAATAAAAGGAACAGTACAAAAAGTAAGGGACTTCTTAAATAACAGCGATATCAGCAAAGCTACAGTTTAAGCACATTTTATCAATGGTTCAAGGTCAGAATTTTAGTAAGATACTCCAAATTAATTTCAATTAAATTGAATAATACTAAAGGTGGTAGAAAAATGATTGAAATGAATGCAAGGCTAATCTAGCCTTGCATTCATTTCAATCATTTTTTCTACCACCTTTACCTTAAAGTTACTTGCATACTCTTCTTTCTCTAACATTCGCCACCTGATTCTTGGAGAAGGTCGGTTCTTCCTACTCTTACTCAAACTCTTCCATTTGATCTCCATTACCAGCAATCTAAATTGCGATACTACGGGTTCCCCGGGCACCACTTTGCAGTCTCGGACACAAACCAACTTGCTTCTTTTTACGAGAAAGTAGTCGATCTGTGTCGCGTCTCTACCACTTTTATATGTGATCAGATGTTCGTGACGTTTTTGGAACCATGTGTAACTATTGCCAGGTCAAACGAAGAGGAAAACTGGAGAAGAGACTCACCAGGTATATATATCTTAAATCTACGTAGGTATTTTGATTTTTCTTTTATTAGACGTTTAGGTGAAGAGGAGTACCAAATCGGATAAGAATTATAATATATATTCTTGCTGGAGTTAGGTTGTGGGCGAGGGCGAGAGGCTTTTTAAAAAGACAAACAAGTACGTCTGCTCCCGTCGGAGCTGTGGTTAGAACTGAACTTTATTATCATTCTACAATATTATATACATAATTGAATCAATGAACTTAATGTTGGTGTTTCCCGTAAGTCATTAAGGAAGTATCCTGTGGCTTATCTCATTATATTCATAAAGTAAACAGAGAACTTAATACTAGTGTTTCTTGTAAGCGATTAAGGAAATAACCTGTGGGTTATCTTAATAGCCTACAATGGGGCTATTGTCTAATGTGCTTGATTACAAGGACATAACTCTGGTAATATGTTTATTTCGAATATCAGCTTCAGTATTATGAAAAATAGGACACACATTCGTCCAGAATCATATTCATAAATATACAAGTGGATCACTTGTTTTTTTTTTGTGTAAAAGGAGGATATGCGGTTGAGAGATTTTAGTCACTTACATTCCGACATACCGGCTGCAGTCCAAACAAGTGCTAGCAGAGCCCTCGCCACGCTTAGCATGGAAACTGCAAGTCTCAATCGATTCCACATTGGTTAGGCCACATATTAGTATTATTAACCGTTATGGGATATTGGATATTGAATGCACTTTCTTTGCCAAGGTTTTTTTCCTATGTCATACCTTAACATGATGATTTTTTCTCCTTATGTCCTAGTTTTAGTTGACTTATGCTGAGCAGTACATTTCTTTCTCATGTATGCTAAACTAGTACACGCTATGATGTTTCAAATTTTTTCACCGTCGCTTGTAACGCTGTGTCGGCATTACAAACTTTAGAGTTCCGATTACTATATAATTTAAGGTAAATATAATATGCGATATATTTGACTTACCCCATTGACAAACCTATGTAAAATTTCTTTATTTTTCTCAACATTGTAGTAATATGGCGACAGCTTGTACACCGCATCAAGATGCAACCAGGGCGTTAGTCCACGTGCCGTCAACAGTTTGCAAATTATGTTAAAAGGTTCCAGTAGTTGCTTTTCTAAATTATCGTTTACATTCAATTTTACACCTAATGTTGTTTCTGTAAGAAAAAAATTACATATCTAGTGATCCAGTAAAGACTTCGATTATGGTCTCCAGTACGTCACCCAATTTAATAAATGATTAATACATATCTGAATTTTTGTCAGTGTCTTCATTTTAAAGAGTCTACCAAACTTTCTTTTTACGACAATTGTCGAAAGTGCTGCAGTTTGGCGGTAGCACGCGTAAAGTGTGTCCAATTCGTGATTACTTCTTTTTAACAAATACATATTCCATTTTAACAAATTAGACTAGACATAATTTACTAACAAGTTCGAAAACGTTTGTGTGACAAGCCAGCATCTTATTGACTGGCGGTTGCCAGCTAAAGCAGGTGGTAGCCGATCAGTGGGCCTACGATGGACCCACCCACTGTCGAGAGCGACCCCTGGCGTCCGCGCTTACGCCCATATGCGCGGGCTTAAAACCGGTAACTGCCACTCCCCGTGTTCTTATCCACGCATTTGACTGACGTGGGTAAAGTGTCCTCTCCACGGACAGTGCGTCGCCTAGGACATGATTAAGGAAACGTAGGGTTGCCTAAGACCTACGTCACCCTATCGACCTCACGTGCTGAACCCACAGAAGAGGCAAGCCAATACGTGTAGAGCCAGGTCGATTGCAGGGTTGTGCCGCTTATTTCTGGTTCAACCCTACTAACAGTGATCCCAAATCTGGGTTTATTTTTGGAGTTTTCCTTCTCCTAGCAAGCCAATGCTTCAGGGCCGTCGCCCCCGCTGAATGATTGAGGACGATTTATTCTATTCGCAGCTGACCACTGTACCTAGTGGCCGTTCATTATGACCTATGACCCCGTTAATAGCTTGCAGCTTACATGTATTTTAATGTAATAAATATTTTATATGGGTATTCTTTGTTTATATAATATTATTTTTATTTAATCTCGTCGGAGGTGTATTTTATTTGAAAAATATTTTTATGTAGAAGTTAATATCTAAGTTTATGTTTATTATGAGTACATATATTATATTCTTTGTATTATTGATAATGTTTTATATTACAGAAGCTACGACACAAAGTAAAATAAGTATTAATCAGCGGTAAAAAAAAACGTTAAAAATCTTCTCCATTCATATATAATACCGAATCTATAAACCATTATAGAAATAACCCTCAACTTTAACTCACCTACTGATTTAATGAGAAGTAATGATTCATTAAAAATGATGAAAGAACACTGTCTACCAACCACAAACGGAGTAAAATGTGTAGATAGTCATGTACTTCCACAAAGACTCCGCTCCGACGCCGAAGGTTGACTTCACTTGCTTCACCATTCTCTCACTTTGTTCGGCGAATACTCTCACATAGTTGTTCAGTTTGACTGGGCTGAAGGTAGGTGCATCGATCTTGCGACGTGGTCTCCAGATAGGTACTAAAAGGTTTAAATTGCAATAATTAGAGTACATGCGACTTTTGAAAGTCCAGCTTTGGACTGCGATAGGCTGATGATGATTTTTAGGGTTCCGTACCTCAAAAGGAGAAAATCTTAACCCTTATAGGATCACTTTGATGTCCGTCTGTGTTTATCTGGCAAGACCCTTTATCTCGGGAACGCGTGGAGGTATTAAGTTGAAATTTAAACCATATACGTCTACGATCCCTTGAAGTTGTAAAATAATGAAACTCCAAAGTTAACGTAAAAAAAAGATACGGCCGTTTATGCCGCAAAAACGCATATTTTGACACTTTCAAGGGAATCCAAATTCATAGGGTACTCTGAAATTACAAGTACAGGGCAAAATCTGAATACTATATTTGTAAATAAATCATAAAAAATATAGTCTTTGTTTAAAGTTTACTTACTTTAAACAAAGACTATATTTTTTGTCATCCATCATCGAGGTACAATTTCTCTTATAAAATTCGAGAATGTAAGTAATTATTTGACTTTTTCTTCAAACACACCCGGTAAACCGTGCCACAGCCGGTAATCTGTCCCACAGTCGGTTGCTCTAGCGGTGTTGGCGGAGCCGTACTACGTCCCGGATCACACTCAGTGGTTTTGGGTAGAATAACGGCACCGCCGATATCTACTGGGCAGGGGTGGAGAATAGCCTCTACTGCACTCTTATTCAGAGAGGGCTGGGCCTTGTGGCATTACAGTGGGTCCCCATGGTCATTGTGGGCTGCTACATTTCTCTGAATTGCGGCCTCTTCGTATTTGAGGAACGCCTGTGTTCGGTGGCAGGGGAAGTCGATCGTCGACCTGACGTGGGCGACTTCCTTAGTCATCGACCAAGTGTCGGGATGGAGGGTGGCGGAGGAGGTGGTCATTTTGTCGGACCACCGCCATCATGTTCGATGTGGCCATTCGCCGCCGGGTGCAGGGCCGAACCGCCGCTTTAGTTGCTTTCCGCGACGATGGGCCCTTAAGCGGATGGACCGAGCATCATGACTGACATGAGAGGTTCTCTGTACAGGTAGACACCAAAACTCGAGCAGCTTTGCACAGCCACAATCGAGGAGTTCCATACCCTTAAGCCAAGGCTTGATCCTGGAAGAAGCTCATAGGGGACTGGACAGGGACTTACAAAATTGTACTGGGCAAGCTCAGACCGTGGGTCCCGCCGATGACACAGATCCTGGACCCGGAGTTTGTGGAAATAGTGGTAGATACCCTCTTCCCGGGGACCGGCAGTCCCTCACGCCCTCCGTCACCATCGGAATCAGTTACGTGGTCCGATGACTTTGACGTGACGGAGCAACACCGCCCCGGGCCAAGCATGTATGTGCGCTTGTTAGCTGCTTCCGTAATAACGTATTCCCTGCCAGCTGGAAGGAAGCCAGGCTTTAAAAGAGTATCAACCAGCACCTGTCGCGAGTGGCCCTCTACTTGTAAGACAACCAATTTGGCTTCCGACAGGGACGCTCAGCACTGGACGCGATTCAACCCACCACGCTTGATTGAGATGAGCTGAATTAAGCGGGTTCGGTAGTGGCCATTAGGATCGTACAAGGTTACCGCACCATTTCGTCGGAAGCGGCGACAATCCTGGCACCTTTCCCGTCTTTTGATATCAAACGATCGAAGAACGCTTAGCGACAGGCACTGGTGTGTTGGTGCGCTCGGCTGGAACAGCCGCGGAATGCGCGCCAACAAGCTGTCAGTGCTGTGCTGTCTGACCTCGAAGCTTGGGTAGGTAGCTCCCTACCTCGCGAGATCGCGTCACCTACCGACTGACGCAGGTACTCACTTGTTTGGTTCGGTGAGTACCTGAATCGGATTGGAGGTGTCAGTAATAAACATTTAAAATATTTTATAATTATCTTTTAATATGAATGTTTTTAGTTTGTGTACGCTTTAAAACTATTAAAAGTTGCTGCTGATGATGATGAACATTAAATAAATAAGAAAAAATTCGGACAAGTGCGAGTCGGACTTGCCAACCGAGGGTTACGTACTAATTCTTATGTACATATTATAAATAGTTCAGGAATCCAGTCTCGTAGTTTAGCCAAGCTTTTCGAAATTTATAATTACTTATGACGACCGAATGGCGTAGTGGTTTGTGTAACGGACTGCTATTCCAAAGATCGCGGGTTCGATTCCCGCTCAAGTCAAACATTTGTGTGCATGAACATTTAATGTTTGATTTGGTCTGGGTGTTTCTATGTATAATAAGTATGTATTTACAAGAAAAAAAAAGTATATATGTATTTATATCAGTTATCTAGTACCCATAGTACAAGCTCTGCTTAGTTTGGGACTAGATGGCGTTGTGTGAATGTGGTACAATATTATACTTATTATACTTATACTTATGTTATTGTGTTTTATGAGTGAATTTTTTTATGATTTAATGACAAAGTTATAGTTTCGCGACTTTTTCCTTGTAGTACAAGACGATGTTACTTGTCAAATTTCATATTACCAGGTCAACAGGAAAGTACCCTATAAATTTTGATTGCCCTGAGTGTCATAATATGCGCCTTTTGTGGCAACTTTACGTTACGTTAACTGATAAGTTTTATTTTGTAGAACTTATAATATGGTATTAATTTCAACTCGATACCTTTACGCATTCCCTAGATAAAGGGTCTTGACATACGGACAGTCGGACAACATAGTGATTCTATAAGGGTTCCTTTTTTTTTCTTTTGAGGTACGGAACCCTAAAAAACTTGACTGATTTTTAGTGCGGCCACTTCTTAGTAAGTTGTCTGTTCGATACCTCAGTAGAAGCACAAAATTACGAAGTAAATAATAGTCATGAGCCTTTAATTAATCAAAGATATCATTAAACACTACATAATAATATAGACTATCCATGTTTCAAATGACATTATATTAGGTCTTTACCTATGAAATTGCCGTTTTGTATGCATTACATTTTCCAAAATTTAGACAACTTTTTAGTGGGTAAAAAATTCAATTCCCGAGAGGCAGTACTAAATGCCTTTGAAGAGTTTGTTGCCTCCCGTCCAGCTGATTTTTACAAGAAGGGCATCAATAAACTGCCAATGCGTTGGCAAAGATGCGTCGATTGCATGGGTGATTACTTCGAATAACAGAAATAAAAAAGTTTGAAAAAATAAGTACTTTCACTTATTGCATACAAAACGGCAATTTCATAGGTAAAGACCTAATATATCTATTCTTTTCTTACTGTTCCTGCTGACAGAAAAGCAAAATAGAAGATGTAACAATAGATTAAATAAAACCATTTATTAAAGAAATTTAATTTCACTACCGTTTATTTAAATGTCTGAAATTATTTTATTGGTCTTTTTTAACTAAGTGATTGCATAGCCATACCTCTTGCGATTATAAGTCCATTTCCAATTAGCTGACTTCCAAGGCGCATGATGCTGTCCTTTTCTAAAGATGTTTTTAAAATTACTTCATTGTCGACGGCATCTACTGAAACTGTTAAAACTTGTTAGTACAATAATAATTGTAAGAAGAATTTCACACATCTCACACCCGTCCGTCTGATTACAAAATAGGTGGAGCCTGTGCTATAGTAACCAGACTGTAGATAAACATACTTTTGTAGATAAAAAATGCGTGGGTGCGAGATCTCCATTGTTGTAAAAATATTTTATTGAATATAATTTTTTTTTAGTAAAAATAAATTTATTATATCATAAAACATCTAGAAAGCACCCCACGATAAAATAATTATCTTTTTAAACTCACTGTTTTCTATTGGGCCAGTTATAAAAGCGTGTTTTTTAATCTATAATTTATTTTTGATATTTTAGTCATTAATCATAATATTATACTAATACATAATACTGTAATATTTATGTTGGTCAAATAAAATTATTATTATTATATTATAATTATTTTGTCAATAAAAGTAAAAATTTAACAAGTAAGTAAGTCCCATATGCTTCAGCACACGCTTTAGTACGTGGTAAAGATACTGCCGTGTTTTCAGGTATGGCAAAAGCCGTTAATCCTGAAGAACCGGATTAGGATAATCGGTCAAAATTTTCAAATTATTGTATTATCATCGGTCCTTGATAAGTGTGCGAAATTTGAATTCAATTTCTTTAAAACGGGCTATTATCTTGATATAAAATGCTATTAGAAGCCTTCGAACGCCCCTTTTGTGGAGAAGCAGAAGAAAGGATCTGGGTTGGCTCACCTAGCCAACCCTACCCACACGCATCAAGAACAGTTTTTGAGTCTAAATGCAGCCATCAGAACCAACTACCAGTTGTAATATTCTCGAAGGCATATTAAAAAAGAGTAAGACATACGTGCGTAAAATTTTGATCCAAGCCATATATGGGTATTTCCTCCGTTCTTAATCGCATCACGGCTAAAAATTTGTATTGCTTTCATACAATCTGAAACAAAATATATACATTAGATATTAGTCTAAACACGTTCAAACTCAGACTCAAAATATCATTGTTTTATAAAATTTTAAAAATTATTTAAAGTTGTCTCGTGTGTAAACTCTAAAGTCATTGACCAACAGACACAATAACAACAATCTATGTTTTGTAAAATATTTAGCAAAGCAAATGTATACGTATTCAAATCTTTTTAATGCCTGTGTCGATCTACAACCGCCCATTTCCAAGGGGTAGGTTAGCCTTTTGAGAAGAATTAAAATATAATTAATTTACTTTTTTAATTAACAGATACAAAACATTGGCATCATTAAATATAGGTACACAACATTGTTATGATGTCTGACAGTATGTATGTTTTAAGGACTAAAAGGTAAAAAGGGAATGAAGAGAAAACAAGATAGAAAACAGATATAAAGAAAAGATATAGAAAAAATTTCTCGCTACGCGCTGTCTTAAGTAGTTAGGCATTGAGTGTAAACTAGATAAAATTGCAGAGGAAATTAAATATGATGCTTAAAGTTGACGTTACGTTGACGATTTGATAACTAAAGGTGATGATTTCAATAAAGTGTTAAATATCCGCACAGAAGTCACTGGAGTGTCGTAAGTATTGTATAACCAAGTTCATGTAACCATGCCTTTATTAGGATAAGCTAAGTAAGGAAGTAGGTTACGTTTTAATATATTGCATTCAATGTGGCACTAATAAACTAGACGTTAACCTGTTCAGATGCGTTTTATTTAATACGCCACTTCAAGCCACAAAATGCACTTGTGTCGGCTTGAATACCACTTTGACAGCGGAAGTCTAAAGAGCCTAAGTTAGCATCGGCAGTATCTCAGTCGTCTTTAGATTTAAGAATGGGATCTAGTCAACCGTGTAAATTATTAGGACTTGACTGGTTTGCGAATTATGACAAACTAGGTGTCCTATGTAAAATACTAAACGAGATGTGCTCTGACGATAGCACGTGTTTTTGACCCGTTAGGTCTTTTATCAACGTTCGTAATAATAATAAAAATGTTTCTACAAGGAATGTGGCTTGACAACCTTTCGTGGGATGATCCTTTCATTTAAGAGCATAATTCTGATTGGAATATATTTTTATTAAATCTTTACTTCTTTCTAATAGTTTTCGTATAGATAGATTTCTGTTATCCCTATATTGATGATATTATTTCCGCTTCACAGAATGAGACTGAACACCTGGAATACCTGGAACAAATTTTCCATCGTATACAAGACCACGGAGTTGTGGTAAACTCATCATAGAGCACCTTCGGTATGCTCCTAGTCGAATTCTAGGGCTATGTCATCTCAGTAGTAGGTACCACGCCTCTGCAGCAAAAGGTACAAGCTATCCTAGATTTTAAACAGCCTAAATCAGTCAGAGAATCACGCCGATTCTTGGGAATATTAAATTTTTACAGGCGTTTCGTGCCAGGCGCAGCAAAAGTTCAGACATCTCTGCACAAACTTTTGTCAGGTCCACCTGTTAAACCGAGTTCTCCTATAAAGTGGTTCAAGGAACTACATCAAGCATTGATCGAATGTAAGACTACACTAGCTAAAGCAGCGTTTTAGTCCATCCAGACCAATTAGCGACAGGTGACTACCTTTAGTATTGCTCTTTGAGCACGTTCAAGTGGGAGGAAAAGGCCTTAGCAGCGCCACTCCACGAAGTTATGCAATATGTTAGTATCGACTGACACAAAGCCAAATAGGTCTGTTTTATTACATAATAATATGCAATACTGCGTAAGTTTTAAAAAATGTATATGAGTTTGCGTACTCTCGTACATAAAAACTTTATGTGTTTGCAATAATATAAATTTGTGTCAATCGTCATACCTAAATATATCACATTATCAGTTTTATTTAAAGCAGGCCAAGTGCATGCAATGTCAACTGATGGACAGTTATGTGCATACATATTTAGGTTAGGTGTTACAATATTTGTGTTCCGCATTTTAAATGAAATGTATTATGTTTTGTCCGCATTTAAGGTCAGCAGATTTTTACGAAGCCAATATGATACCTCATTAAAGCCATTCTGTTCATGTTCAAATACTTGAAGTCGTAATTTAGCTGAAAAATGAAACGAAAACAAATTTATATTTATCAAATGATCTATAAATTTGGATATTTGTAGTTAAACTTTCACTTAGTACATAAATGCCGAGATTATAAAGTTTTTCAAAAATTAAAACCCCCTTCCAATCGCTTCGATTGAATTTGCCGGCTTTTAAAGAATTTTTTGCTAATTCTACCTGTCTATACTCGTGTACATGTGTGTATTTAAGTGTGTGCGCTGTCATCGCCTCAAGGGTCACGCAGTTACTCCTTTAATGGGTTACCTTACGCAGCAGCGGCTCCTTCCGGGTTGTTATCCTTTTAATTGTACTAGTGTCGATCAACCGGTCTAGTCATGTGCGCTAGTCGTTAGTGTGTAGACTGGTAAAGGTTTACATAGCTATATTTATTTGTTTTACTAATAAGGCAATTAAGTTGGAGTTAGTTAGTGATCTCACTAGTGACAAATAGTAATTTGCTCTATATCGTTTTATTTCACGACGAAGTAAATCCGTAGATATGTACTCCGACAACGGCACTTCATTTAATGGCGCGTACACTGAATATCAAAGAGTTTGTTTCCAAATTGCAGCAGAGGACAAGGTGGCGTACCAGCAAAGATTGGTGGAAGCTGGACTCTTTGGTATTTAAGGGGGACCACCTGCCGCCTTGGAAGTGGAGATTGGGAAGAATAGTGAAAATTTATCCTTTGTCAGATGGAGTTGCTATGTTGCTGACATCCGCACGTCCATTGGCATTAGAAAAAGAGCCTTTAATAGAATCTGCCTCCTGCCCATTCCCACTGTTGGTATAAAGCGTATATCTGTTGAAGTGCTTAAGCAATTCATGTGCGCAAGAGTTCGTATGTTTTTCGGACGTCTCTTTACTTTATTAGGGTGTTACGCTTATGTGCTGTTACATAAATGTCGGTACATCATCATTGTGAACTTCAATCAGTACTGTTCAGCCATTACAAATTTTACATCATCACCGATTTTTATTTAAATTTAATTGAATTTTATTCAAATTAGCCTAGTTACAGTCTATACACTTGTGTTATTTCATAGTGACTATCGATATTTGGGTTAAAGTTTTGATATTACTTGGTGGTTCCATTTAAGTAAAATATCAACTTTTTTAGGAATAAAGATAATTTATATTAATGAAAATACAATTTATTAGGTAACTTATAAAATCATACCAATAATAAACGTCAATTTGATATTTTACCCGTTTAGCAACACTAAACTCGTTTTATGAGTAATAAATAATAAAATAAAAAAACCTGTATTTGAATATCCTTAATTTCCATTTCAAATGTTGGTATTTGTTTGTCAGTGTTTAGTTACTTATTCATGTTTTGCTTATTGTCTAAATGTTAGTAAGGGTTCGTTTTTTCTTTTTGGATATGGACCCCTCCTCGGGTGAAGGCCGGTCCTTTCCATTCATCTCTGTCCTTGCCGATAGTAGTTATTAGTAAGGTTAGAAATAGTTGTTAATAAGTTTTATAAAAGGTTCTGCAAATATTAATGTTCTTAAAGGCTATTTTTTATGACTATTTATTTATGACTTCATGCAATATTTACATCAAATGATAGAATTTTTAGTCAGTACTATTTGTCCTTCGAATAGACCTATAGGCAATGATATATTATTATATTTATAGTATATATACCAGGATTAACACATTTACATATACTGGGTCTACCAATAGGGATGACCTGGTTTTGACAGCTATTAGCGGCCATGTTTGATGATGGATCTTTGACGTCTCTTGACATTTGTATTCAGTAAGGTTTGCCATTTTATCATGTCACGTTTCACTTTAAACCAACGCTTGGAAATTGTCCAAAATTATCACGCAAATTCGCGTTCTCCTACCGCTACAGAAAGAGCGCTTAGCGCAAAAAAAATGCTCCT